AGAGCGGTTGGGGCAGTCAGGGGACAAGGAGCAGGGAGCCAGATAGGGGGTGGGGTCCTGGGGGGCAGTTAGGGGGATTCTGAATGAGGTGGGAAGTGGGAGGGGGCAGGGCTGGGGTGGGGCTAGGGCAGCACCCCATGTCCTCTTTTTTGATTGTTGAAATATGGTAACCCTAGTTTAAACATGCACATATAGCTAAAGTTGTGCAAGTCTGCTTACACCAGACCTTAAGAGTTAGACTTTTTGCAGTGTGTAGCTAGTAAGAGAGTATGGATAAAAATTACCAATTTCAAGGGCATCAAATTACATCAAGAATGGAAGAACTATTTACAAATGCAAGAGACATTAGCATTGCTTTAGAGGCTGTCAAATTAAGAAACATTTTAACAAAAACAGATTTCTTTTTACACCCTGAACTACTAAAACTGCTACTTTAGTAGTTACATTCTCAAAGCCAGGGTTTTTTTTTGTTTCTTTGTTTGTTTTTGCGCATTTACTCAGCTTAGACAAGAAAAATAGTGCTTACAGTACTTCACTTTCTGATTCTCATGCACTAGCACTATTTGTGCATTTAGGATGCATTAAAAAATTAATTTAAGTTCTAATAGATCCCTAGAAGTTTTATAAAGTAACAAAATCTAAGTCGTTTAAACAAAAAAAAAACCACAAAAAAAAAACAAACAAAAAACCACACCACACATATCCCAAGTAGTTTAAAAAACAAAAAACAAACCATGCCAGCACCCTTTTGAAGGTGACTTGCATAGCAAAGGGTCACTTATACATTGTAGAGCAGACAACTTCTTCCAAGGCTTGTCAATGCTGTTAAAAAAAGTTAAACTAAGTCCTTGCCCTCCTTGGGCTTTTTTGGTTTGCTGTAGGTGAAAAACTGACAGGGTAGTGACTTGGATAATTTGACACCTGAGCAACTTTCCCAACCCTCAATTGAGGAAGACGGGGATGTTTGAGTATTCTGCTGCAAGAGAGAAATTTTATAGACATCTGGGAGATGTCAAGAAATATATTCAACATCTCCCCTTCAACCGAGAGCTAGGAAAGCAGCAACTTATGATTCTACTCATTGTGAGTGGGCCAGTTAAAAACTGGATCGAAGTCTTCATGGGGCACATCCCTCACTATCATGAAATGTCATGGTATTTGTCAAGTAAAATAGAAGCTTAGACTTTAGACAATTTACACATTGTTAAGCAGCATTACAGGGCACAAGCACTTTTCTCGGCAGTTCACTTTTAGGGCATGGCTACACTTGCAGTTGTAGAGCACTGGGAGTTAAACCAACCTTCGGAGACCGCAGCAGGGAAAATGCTGCCAAGTGTTTACACTCTCAGCTGGAAGCGCACTGGCGGCCACATTAGCAGCTCTTCCAAAGCCACAAAGAGCAGTGCATTGTGGTAGTAATCCCAGCATGCAGGTGGCTGCAATGTGCTTTTCAAATGCAGGGGGTGGGGTGGAGTGTGACAGGGAGTGTATTGTGTGTATGTGGAGGGAGAGAGAGTGGGTTTTTGGGGGGCTGAGAGCATGTCCGCATGCTGTCTTGTAAGTTCAGACAGCAGATCTCCCTCCCCACCCACCCCCGCCTCTCTCACTCACTCAAAGCAAGCAGCATTTCTTTGTCCCGGAGCAGATAAGCAGCCAGCTGTCAAAAACTGAGCTTTGAAAGGGCATATCCGCATTTCTACAGCAAGTTCAAAACAATGACAAGGAAGAGTGGCCATTTGACTTAAGGAGATTATGGGATGTTTCCGGGGGTCAATCAGAGCGCAGTAATGCAACACCTTGTTCACACTGGTGCCGCGGCACTCCAGCGGAGGCGCAGCAAACCTTATTCCACTCGCTGAGGTGGAGTACCAGCAACGCTGTAGCTGCAGAGTCAGAGCACTCTACGTGCCTTGACAGTGTGGACAGGTAGTGAGCTAGTGTGTCCGGGGCTCCTTTATTGCACTGTTAACTCGCAAGTGTAGCCAAGCCCTTAGTTGCAGATGCATTCAGTTTTAAGAATATACTGAGTAGAATTACTAAAAAAAAAAAAAAAAAAAAAAAAACTTATTTTGCAGAAAACTAGTGGCTATTATGTATGCTGCACAGTAAAGTCCTTATCACTGTTTTCCAAATCTAAGAGTATTTAGATTTTATATAAAAGAATGGTATATTTAACTCTTTAACTCGAAGCCTGAAGTGAGATCTGTGCAAAGTTTGTTCGCTTTTCGTTAGGAAACACTAATCTTGCTCTCTGGTGTCTCAAGTGTAGCGGAAATTAAGACAGCTGGCTGCTTAAATAAAAAGTGGAGTTGCAAGCAGTTTCAGATACTCTGCTGGCTTTCCTTTCCAGTTTGCAGCTTTACAATCAAATTTTCCTTTTGGTTCTCACTCAGCTTATTTATGAAACACAAATGGGAAGTGATGCTGACTGTACACTTAAAAGTGTTGACAAAGAAGTTAGTAAACTCAAGGAATTATGTAGTCCCTCACTCAGACATCGTAGGTGTTAACCATAACACAGACACATTAAAAAATTTAGACAAAAGGTTCCATTTCAACCCAGTGTCTAACAGGAACTTCATCTTGTTTTGTTAGAATACCTTTGCATCACTGATGGCAGCACAACACTTGGAATTGCTTATTGCCTGTTACGCAATAGCAAGGAGCAGAGAGCATAAAGTATTTTCAATATCTGAATGTAATAAGCTAAGGCTGGCTGTGAAACATGTATATAATAACTCATTAACTTCAAGCCAAGAAATGAAAGAGCACTAGCATCTAAACTTTAGTCGCTCCCCTCTTCCATTTATCAAACATTAACAATTCCATTTATCAGGGGAACTTTCATTATCTAAAAAAGGTTGAAGTAATCAAGTTTGGATTGTACTGAAAACAGGAATGTCCAATTCCAGTTTCTGCATCTTCTAACATTCACAAAAGTTGAAATTGCATATCTTTCAGATTCTAATAGTGGTATTGGCAGACGAATGGATATAAACTGGCCGTGGGGAAGTTTAGGCTTGAAATTAGACGAAGGTTTCTAACCATCAGAGGGGTGAAATTTTGGAACAGCCTTCCAAGGGAAACAGTGGGGGCGAAAGACCTCTCTGGCTTTAAGATTAAGCTAGATAAGTTTATGGAGGGAATGGTTTGATGGGATAATGTGATTTTAGTCAATTAGTCAACAAAGTGCCATCGCTGGTAAATAGTATCAATGGTCAATGAGGGTCTGGCTGGAGAATCTTGCCTGCATGCTCGGGGTTCTACTGATTGCCATATTTGGGGTCGGGAAGGAATTTTCCTCCAAGGTAGACTGGCAGAGGCCCTGGAGGTTTTTCGCCTTCCTCCGCAGCATGGAGTGGGGGTCGCTAGCTGGAGGATTCTCTGTGACTTGAAGTCTTTAAATCACAGGATTTGGGGACTTCAACAGCTGAGTTAAGGGAAAGGGGGTGGGTCAGCTTTTGTGGCCTGCATCATGCGGGAGGTCAGACTAGATGATCATAATGGTCCCTTCTGACCTTAAAGTCTATGAGACTTTTAGTATGTGTAACAAAAGAAAGTATGCATTCAATATTTTAGCTGCTTTGTAACAACAGAAGTGGCCAATAAATTCTCAAGCATTTATAAGCTATCACTAGTATCTTGACACCAATTTATTGGTTATGAAAATTAATATACAAGCAACATGTACAACATGCTCACTATCATTCTAGTTCAAAAGAGAATATATTTATGCTAAGTAAAGGCCTGATCCTGCATCACTGAAGTCAATAGGAGCTTTACCATGGACTTCAATGAGCACAAGCTCAGGACCAAAGAGGAGTAGTTTGACAATACTTGAACTAAAAATCCTCTCTCATATCCTATGGCAAGCTGAAGCTGCTTGCACATTCACCTAGCTGCTATGACTTCTCCTGCATTATGTTTGTAATAGCATTAAATTGGCAGGAGCTCACTATACACTGCTACAAAGAGCCTAAGGAACAAGTTGGTATTTCACAGGAAATATTAAAATCTTAACATTTCAAATAAGTTAGTGGTTTTTTTTTTAAATTTACAAAATACCTGAACAGGCCTATAGGGCTCATCATCAGATCCCTTCCACCGAGAAAACAGGAGACAGACTATCTTCTCAATATCATTCCGAGGCCAAAGAATGAAGTCCATCTCTTGGGTACAGCCAATTACATCCTGCAAGAAGGAGTTGAGTGGATCACTTGTAAATTACTCTTACAGCATGATCAGTGCAAGAGCAGATATTCACTTTTACATAAAGTAACAATGTTCACAATTCTTAAATTTGTCTCCACATTCTTCCATCCTAACCCACTAGTTTATCTGATCTACCTGTTATGTCTAGTCTGAGAAAGCAAATGCTTTGGGACAAGAACTGGGAGAAATTTTCTGTGTGCACAAGAGCTAGCATGGAGACCTAGTTGGCTTTTTTACATGCTACTGCAAAGTAAGTGTTACATAACAGTTCCCCCTTTTGCAACTTCTAATCTCAAAGAAGATTATAATTTTTTCATGGATTATCTGAGTCATTCATTTCAATATTAATTTAAAAATGGAATAAGCATTTAGCCATCCCACAAAAATACTGCTTTTTGAAGATTAATATTTGCCCACTAGAAGAGGACAAGGCTGGCAGGAAGAACTTTCAAATTTCTAAATATATAATCTGTCCCATTCAAGTACAAATGGAGAGTTTCAGTAATTACACAAATACACAAGTAAATCTGATTCCAGGATAAGCACGTGCCACATCTCAGTTCAGCCCCCAACCTGTACCCATAATTCACCATTCTTTATGTACCCAAAATTCTAGTTCAAAAAAAGACTGGAGGAATGCAGGATTGGGCCCAGGATTTGTAAGAACAGCTCACAATTGTTCAGAATTCAGGCCAAGAACTAGTAAGTTTAAGGAATAACTTTACCCTGCGCATAGACTGGTAGCGGGGTGCATGAAGCTGTACTACATCCTTCTGTAGAAGCTCTATGGAACTTTCCAAGGAATAGCTGGAATCCCGCACACCTTTCAGGATATTTTCTTCATAATTATTGGTCATGACTGGTATCACTTCAGACACTTCAAAAAGTGCTGACTTCTTCTTCTAAAAAAAGAAAAAAAACAGTAGTCACATTAGGGCTCTATCCTTTTTCCAAGCAGTTTGTGATTATAACAACATTTCAAAGCCTGCATGTTTTCCCCTCAGTGCTAGTGTTGCTTAAGCACTGCATTAGTGGTGCATCTTGGAGGCATAACTCAGTCTTAAGTTGTTTGTAAAACTCTTCAAGACTGAGAATAAGTCAAAGAGCTCTATTAGACAGGCCCCAATCCCCACGAAAGCTTTTTTACACACATGCTTCAAGTTAAACACATGCACAAGCATTGATAGGACTGGAACTTTGTCAAAATTTGACAGCTGAGGTCTTGGCAACAGCTCTAGATAGAGATTTCTGCTGGTGAACCAAGTTAATCAAAGGCATTTCACATCTGTAAAGTTGTCAATTTCCAACAAATGGAAATTTAAGCGTCTCTTCCCCCTACTAAAAGAACTCCACTATCAGTAGAAGGGAAGCAGATCCAATTTGGGAACAATTTTAAGGGTGAGTCCACACTAGAAGCGCTACAGTGTGCGTCTGCAGTATAAACCAGACAGAGCTCTCCTGTCAACTTAATTACTCCACCTCCATGAGGGATAGGAGCTATGTCGCAGGAGAAGTTCTCCCACTGACTTAGTGTAACTTAACTCGCTCATGTGTATGGATTATTCACACCCCTAAGCAACACATTATACTGAAGCAGGTGGTAGTGTAGAATTTGTCCAGGAAGAACAGGGGAGACCTGCATATCCATCATCACTAGACAAACTCTGAATACTATTTGCCATGGATGGGTATCACTCTCACAAAACTGGAGTTAGATTCAGAGCTAGAGGCTTGTCAACACCATCTCAAGGAGTTCAGGGAAGGAGCTTTCAAGAAAGTAGCTGCAGATTAAGGCCATGTCTACTCTTACAAGCAGCATCGATACAGTTGTGCTGCTGTAAGATCCCTCCTGTAGCCCTGTTACGATGACGACAGAGAGAGCGTCTCCCACCACACCAACACAGTGCTGTGCACATGAGCGCTTATGCCAGCAAAACTTATGTCGCTCGGGGGTGGGGGGTTGTTTTTCCACACCTCTGAGCACCAAAAGTATTGCCAACTTAAGTGCTAGTGTAGACATGGCCTAAAAAATGTGTCTTAAGTCTGCTCAATTTCTTAGCATCACATTCTGGAATATAGCCTCCTCCCTCATTCCTGGAATAAACACATACTGCAGTAGTTAAAAGTTTTCATCCTAGTTTAGTACGTCAAACTAGTTTAAATTTAATGAATTATCCTAGAAATTCAATCTAATTCTAAGTGAACCAAAGAGTTTTACAAATATTAAAGTGAAAAAATAGCTGCCAACAGTTAGAACCCACATTGAAGATACAAATGCAGGTATAGATGAGTTATCCAAGGACAAACATGACAACATCCAGAAGTTCTGTTCACTGCAGCCAAACAAATAAAAACTTGTTTTCAAGAATGACAGCGGCAGCTTCAGATATCCATGCACATTTGTACCATTTCAAGAGGTGTTTTAAAAGGAAGTCACAACCAACTTCTGTTTTAATCTGATAAAGGTGATAACTTCAGTAGCTGTTGCAGCCAATTCTCCGTCACAACTGTGACTCTCATAAGCACATTAGCATCTGATTCAGGCCCCAAATTAGGCTTCATAGACAAGTTACATACTTTACTTTTTAATTCCCTCCCACTCTGGGAAAAGATTTATTTGGATGCAAGTGTCCCAATGATGAGCTTGCAACCATTATGTTACAAGCCTGTGCAAGCACATGACAAATGAAAGCCAGAGTCACTTAAAGGCAAACTTTAAGACAGTATGGTGACAAATGGATTTTAAATTTCATTTTTGACCTTCGATCATTTTGCAAAATAACTGTTAACCGTTAGAGTTGAAATCCTATGGTAACAGACAAGACAAAAAAGATTTTAAAATGAAGTTACCTTGTCCTTGAATACAAAGGCAATATACATCTTGAAATCAAACTGGTCAGCTAAAGATTCTTTTTTCTTTCTAAGCTGAGCTCGAAGTCTGTTCAGAGCTTGTTTCTTCCGGGAGTTTGGGTCCCCCATTTTGTAACACAGGTGGTACTAAAGCCTTTGGAAACTGTCACTAAACTATGGGCACTTTTTCATAAGACTCAAGTACAACAGAAACAAGTCATTTTATCCCCGCTAATACGACTGAATAGATAAAACGCGAATGTAACCCAAAAAAACGCACCTCAGGTAATATTTTATGACGCTATCACATTAGAGGGGTCAAGAAACAAAATATGTAATCGTCCAACCATGATTGGACAAGAGGCGATTCTGCAACAGTACCAAGAAAAAACAAAACCTAAAAATTCTGAAGAAAATATGCTTGTGTGAAGAGTTTAACCACACAAATAAGTGGGTGAGAATGAAAAGGAAAAAAAAAATCTTATCACGATTTATGTGTACAATAAAAAGCAACTGGCACAAGCCCAATCCATGTGGGGTTATTTTTGCCTTGCTTACAAAAAAAAAAAAAAAAAAGAAAAGAAAAATATATATATAAAAAACAAATTACAAATTGCGTTTTACCCCAGCCAGATTCATGACTCTGCTGATTATTATTCTCAGATTTCCACTATTGCTATGTTCCCCCCTTTTTTTTTTTTTAGGATTATTACACTTGATGGAGAGCAGAGAAGAGAGTGCAGAGGAAGAGGAGTGCACGTCCCGGGAGGTACGAGATTTCCCTGCCAACAAAATCATCAACTACAAATAACACGGCGCTGGTTTGCAGAAGAGCAAAGAGGAAAAACAGCGGAGTCATTTCTAATTTCATCCTGCTCATCATCAGGCACATCATCGCCCTAAGGCTGCCGCTACCAAGGAGAAGAGGGATCATGATGGCCATAGATGAGGGGTGGGTGTGGTCGAAGGGACAATATTCTCTCACCTAGAGACTCAAACACGACTTGATACCTCGGTCCCGACTCTCCCCACCCCTCGGGGTGAGAGTCCTACATTCCCCAACACCCCACAGTCTCCCTGGGCTGCTGATCCCCCGGGGATCCTCCTCTCTCTGCCGCTGCTGCTGCGCTCCGCAGGGAGCCCGATTTAGCTGGGGCTAGGCATGGCCGATGCTTTTCACTTCCCTTTGGGCCTCTCCCTACACAAGGCGGCGGCGGGCGGCCTGTGCCCAGGGCAGCGAGGCACCGACTCAGTGGCCTGGGGTTCCCCCTCTCACTTCATGGTAGCGACTTTACAGACATGGAGAGGCCGGTGGGTTGTTTTAAAAACAGATTTTGGGGGTGGGGGGAGGTGCAAATTTTTACCAATTTTCCCCCGTTTATTTTGAAAATTTGGTGGCAGATTTTTTGCACACAAAAAAACAAAAACAAAAACAAAAAACCACCCTTTTAAGGTTATTTTTGCCTCACTCCAGCCATTTTTTCTCCAGGGGGTTGGGGCTTTTAAAAGGGTTTTAACTCAAAATAAAGTCGTCGGACTAGGTTAAAGAAACCCACCGAGTTTTTCCTCCCCTCTCAAAAAAACACCCCCAAATCCCCCCCCAAGCAGGAGACGGAGAGACTCAGGCAGAAACCGAGGCCCGCTCGCTACCCGCAGCCGGCGGGCGCAGGAGGAGCAGTGGAGGCGGCGGCGCTGCTAGCAGCACGGGGAGGAGCCATGTCAAGATAAAGCCACGAAGTCGCCGAGCCCCCCCATCCCTGCTGCACTGGACACGGTGACCGGGCCGCCCGCTCTGCCGCTGCTCAGCCCCAGCGTGGTCCCCATAGTCTAGCTCAGCGCCCCGGTGCCGGGGGAGGGGAAATGGTGGCGGAGGCGGCAGCGGAGGAGGGAGGAGGAGGCCGGGTCCCTGCGCTAGCGGCTCCTACGGAGAAGACCAGGCGATGGCGGCGGGTCCCGGCGGCGGGTGCGTGGGGAAACCTCGCACCGCCCAGGCGGCCCCGGCGTTTCCTCTCAGCGGCGGCGAGAGCGGAGGCGCCTCTGAGGCCCGGGAGCGACTGGCAGCGACAGGACGGAGCGAGAACAAACAACTTAAAATGGCAGCGCCTGCCCGAGTCAGAGACCAGACGCCGCCCGGACTCACTGCGCAAGCGCGCTCCGCTGGCACGTACCATCTCCCATCTCTGCGGGGGGGCGCGAGCCTAAGACCCAGCAGTGAAGCCACCGTAGCGGCCAAACTGGTGGTGCCTTTGGCAGGGGGGAAGAGCCAGCTTATGCCACGCACGTGACAGGGAAAGCGGCGGGGGGGAAGGGAAGGCTGTGCATCGCTTTACGGTACGGAACCTGGGTCCCCCCCCAGTTCAGCGCAGGTCACAGGGCTCTAGCGACGCACGTGACCCGCAGCCATCGCCGCTGCTTCCCGCTCGGGGACCCGGATGGAGTTGCTCAATCTGACCCACTCTGCCCCTCACCCAACAGGGACACGAGGGGGAGGGGAGCGGGGCGTCTCGGTCTCGCCCCATGCCCCGCCCTTGGCTCTGGGCGGGGCTCCGGGCGTCGCCTTCAATCGCTGGGGCCAGGGTAGGGTTAGCATCCCCCCGCCTTCCCGCCCCACAGTGCCGCGCGCCCAGACGGCGGCCGCGGCATCCTCCGCCCGCAGAGAGCCAGGCGGGGGGGGAGGCGGCCCCATGTCGTTGCGCATCGCTCAGGGCGGTCCGGCAGCTGTACACAAGAGTTAGGGTGAC